CCATAAAATTTAAATTTTTTGAATGAAAACAACTGAGGTGTTCGAATTGTTAGGCAAGCACGGAATTTAGCTTTGGAAAAGAAGGATTTCAGATCCAGCACTGCGGCACGTTAAAGTAGTGTAATGCTTTCAGGACACATCTGGTGAAATGAAAAAGCGCCAGTTTTCATCCTCTTCCCTGCACATGTGTGCAGATTAATTTTATTTTACATACGTTGTGATGCATAAAAACAGGTTTCGGCAATAAGTAAAACAAGTACAGCTGAGTGTCATCTTGCCAAGATCATCTCTGGCCTTGGCACGGAGCTATTATTGTTCCCCAGATGCGCCGATACGCTGGACGCAGCCATTCTGGTTCTAAGTGCATGTGTTAAATCTATCCCTAACGTTTTTTTTTTTTTTCAGTTGCGTGGAAAGTCAGCTCATAAGCTCTAGCTAAGGCACCGGTTTTTCCGGCAGATACTTCTAGCTAAACAAATTAAGGCTGGCCGTCAGAACTGTCAGGAAACACCCCCTTAAAATTTCAGCTTTCTAGCTTCCTTGGCTCCTGAGTTAGCAACTTACTCGGAAAAAAACTTTCACGAGTCCGTACGTCGGTACCACGCATACCCGATGTCTGGGCTTGAGTTCTTTGAGACTTACGTGGATGGGGAACATTCCCTGAAAATTTCAGCCTTCTAGCTTTTCAGTTTCCCGAATTAACAACTTACCCGAAAAAAATTTTGGCGGACTCGTACGTGGGGTGCGACGCGGATAAGAGCGCCCATTTCGAAAATGGGGCCCTTACGCACATGTAGATTAAGTTCCACAAATTTTGTCCCCGTATCTTTTGTGGGTCTCGAGATGAAAAATCGGTACGGACGCGCAGCGCATACACAGACACACATACACACAGACAACCTCTCGTCAATATGCGTTTTCCACATTGCATAGCTGCAGAAAAAGCGTAATAAGCAGTATCATTTGTAATGAAAGTTCCTCAAAGACATGTTGCAGCGAGGACCTGCATTCACAGTTCATGGGTGTGCGTCCAACAACATCAAATTCTGCGCCACTTTATCCTCAACCGAATTCTGGGCAGCATGATGCTCGCTTTTCGAGCTGTAACGGTATGTTTTTCGTGAAACTTTTATTTCATTTTAACATACCTCTTGCTTGGTGGATCCAGCTGCTGAGAACACTTTTCCTTTTGATTCTGAACTCTCCGCATTCGCATAATTTCATGTGCATTCAGATTGCACTGCGCTGGTAGTAGCCTTCGCACTATCCGTTTAACATTGTCCCTATGGATTTTAAGCTCGATTAATTCTGTGGTCAAGTTCTTGCCTTCATAATGCACCTTTTAGGC